AAAGAGAGAGAGAGAGAGAGAGAGAGAGAGAGAGAGAGAGAAAGGGTGAGAGGAAAGAATGATAAGCATCTACCCGAATCCACCCACTAAAAAAAGTACTTTTAGTTTGGTTGGTTGGTTGGAAACCGGTACAAAGGGTTGGGCCGTAATGGCATCGAGTAATTGAATCAAAAGTCTTTCTTTCTTGCTTCCGCAACAAATTATAAGTATCATGATCTGAAAAATGTACAGTTTGTGAACCTTTGAACCACCCGCGACATACCCCAAATACAGTCCCCACCCAGACACTCGATGGAAAGCGCAGCTCGGATCCGCGAGAGATAAAGGAGGCACTGTGGCTCCGCAGTGAGCACGATCTTTCGATTTCTTCCAGACACGACCACACAAAGTTCCGCATCAAATCGGAACAATGGACCAGACCAGATAGGCCAGATAGACGGCGGACCCGTAACAGCATGGCTTTTCGACAGAACGCATGGACCGCGGTCGCGACACGCAACGCGCAACGCGCTAATCGGTTTATCCATTATGCTATATTTTACGCCAGATCTACAACGTCGCAAGAACCTCAGTCGTTGTTTGGGTCTCAGGCTATGGGAGGAAAAGGGATTAATATGCAAACTGCTATTACCCTGATCGACACGCAACGCGTCAACTTGTCCCGTTACGGTTTTTTACGACCCAGAACGAACTTTTGTGTTAGAATCAACTTTCTTTGTGTTTTATCGAACTGCGCCGAACCAGCTCGCAAAGTTACCCGGGGGTTGCACTTGCGTTGTTTTCAGCATTCCTGACCATCCAGGGCGAGATGAAAATAACATTCCTCGCCCACCCATCACTACCGTACCCTTCTGCAGAGACCGGCCGGTTTCCGTTTCCCGTCTCTTCCGAGGCGGCCCCCGGGTGCCGCAAGTACGATTTTAAGAAAAAAAACCCGTATTTGGTAAAGGGCGTCCAGCCGCGTTAGACTGACTGCAGGAATCATGGCATTGGGTTGAAATTGATTTTTAAGGCAATCGAATCGAGTGTTTTGTATAGCAAGTCAAGGGGAAAACTTGTAAAGATCGTTAGCGGTGTGATAAAATATCAATGATGAAGACTTTAGTCGCTTTGGTTTGTTATAATCACATAATAATTACCTTCTTTCCTATCTAATGACCGAAATTATCGAATTTGGCAAATCTTGTTTTTTACTTTAAACTACATAAAACTCCTAATAACACCAGCTATTTTCGTTAATCTCGAAGCCGGATTTTAGTCAGTTGGCAAATAATTGTTCGAATACCCAGATTCCGAATAAGTATAGTTCTAGTTTGTAATTGCTAGAGTGTGGCCTAGGGTGTGGTTCAAGGGAACAGCTCGGGCTCAACGTATCCCGCCGGGTTGATCCATCTCACTTGCTCGGCCCCTGGTGACGTAAACCCAGAAAAACAAGGGCGAAATGATCGCCGCCTTGCACCGTCACTCGCAATGCTGCAAACCGGAAATCGGGCGATCGCTTCGCCAGACTAGAGCCGAGGGCGATATTTTTAGTGAGAGAGAGAGAGAGAGAGAGAGAGAGAGAGAGAGAGAGAGAGAGAGAGAGCGAGCATCTGGTTTTTCCAACGAGGGCGTCTACTGCGTTTGTTTTGCAGCCGGCAGACTTTCCAGAAGTACAGGGTGGCCCGAAAGAGTGGTGACCGCAGCTTGCACACAGAATTTCTCTATTCCCTTATGGGTTTGGGCAAGGCGGGGTTATGGATTCTGTTTCCTATAGATGTTGGCTAAATTTGAGCATACACTCAGCGCACAACGCAGTCTAGCTTTTACATTAGGAATTTAATTCCATAATTGAAAGTCATGGGTTTTTTGAAATCGACAAAATCTAAAATAAATTCCTGTGGAAGAAAATACTTAACGATGCCTTTTCCATCTTTTTAACGAGCGTGCCTGACGTTTTCGGTGAAGCTCGTGGTGCAGCTATGGTTCAGAACCCCCAACTTGGCCAAGTGACTGAGGCCCGTTATTAAGGGTTTTGACCAAACCGTTTTTTGCTCGCCAAAAGAGCGATCCTGCAGCCCCAACCCGAACCCGCACAATTGTTTTGTGTAGCCGGTCTGAAAGGCCAAAGTGTTGGCTACTCCCGATTCCATTTTGGGTTCGCTCGCGAAAGTCTTCATCGAGTTATGAGCCAGATTCGGGCTGAGTGTCTGCGTGCCAGCACCTCCGTTTTTCATCCGCTTCCGCGCCAGTTTTTCCGAGTTTGAGGCAAACAAATAAAAAAGTGGTTATACCATGTGGAAGATAATTGTTTAAGGAATATAATGTGCTAAAATGAGTTTTCCTCGATCTATAGTTTTTCAGAAAATTGAAAAAGTTTCGGTCACCACTCTTTCGGGCCACCCTGTACATGAACTGGTTGGGGGCGCCTTGCGGCTTGTACACCCGACCCGCTGTTATATAGAAGGCTCATTTCGCAAAAACTATTCTGCTAAATTTGTTTGCTAAAACCGATTTTTCCAGAAACAAACTTCAAAAACGGCTAAACTTGACGTTACCCCCCGGGCCGGAAGTTTTTGGCGTTAACTTTTTTATTTTAGATTATTATAAGCTGAAATTAAAACTTTTAGTATATTTTACGACGCTCTATCGAATGGTGTTGCAAAAATCTCGACAAAATGAACGAAAATACCGAAATTTTTGGGACCTTCGGCTGTGGGGGAAAAGTAAAGTTTACCAAAAAAGCTTGTGTACAGCTATAGCGAGCCAGGGCCAATTACTAGGGAATAGCAATGCAAATTTTAAAGAATTTGGGTTTTTTGAAAAAATCGTTTCGATAAATGCAAGTGGTTTTTACTTGCCAGTCCAATGTTGGGATCTGGAAAGTGCGCTTTTAAGAGAAAGAGGACTCCGGTTTTGGCGCTGATGTACAGCCGCGACAAACCGGATCCGCGCCACCAAAACACTCGTTGTGACCTGCATTCCGAACTTGGCGTGCTGCCCCTCCCGATGTGATTTCCGCGCAATAACAAAGTTTTTTCAGGCAAACGCAGGTCGACAGTGGATAAGGATCACATACCGAGGGAAAGACCTGAAAAATTGTATGGAAAACTTCTTTTTTTTGTGTTCAGCATAAAGTAATCAAAGCCAAAGTGTTTTCACACTGTTGTTAGAGAGTTTTAACTATCACTCAGTAAAAAAAACTTTAAAAAAAGTTAGAAAAATGCTTGAAAAAGTCGAAAATTTGGTCATTTTGGGTCCTTCCCCCGCAAATCCTAAAGGTTCTATATTTTGCAACCTAAAATTTTTTTAATTAAAATTTGTGTAGATTTTATGCTTACGAATAGCTAAAGACAATTTAGAAACGCATCGGCTATTTATAAAAAATTTAGGGGTGTTTCCTCTATCCCGAAATTTCCGATCCCGAAACCCTCTATCCGGAAACACCCTATCCCGAAACTCTCTATCCCGAAAGTTCTGGATCTCGAAAACTCTCTATCCCGAAACCCCATATCCCGAAACAAGTTAGCTAGCTTTAACGTACCGAACACCAGACTAGGTCCTGGAAGTAAATCGTTAAATATGATAAAATGATTTTCCGATGCCTGAAGGATGTAGGGCGTTAGGAAACGCAAAATACTGCGTTTCGGGATAGAGAGTTTCGGGATAGGGAGTTTTCGAGATACGAAGCTTTCGGGATTGGGAGTTTTCTGGATAGAGAGTTTCGGGATAGAGACTTTCGGGATTGGAAGTTTTCGGATAGAGAGCGGCATTCAAAAATTTACGTGTGTGCCTAAAAAATTTGGTCCCCCCCACGAATCCTAAAGAACCGAACACCTGCACTAATTTCAAATTCCCAAAATCGATGAGCGGCGGGTGTGAGGGGGCAACATGATGGCCTGACGTTCGGATGAACGTTGCTCCTGCTGGAGCGCATGTTTTAGCGCAAGACAAAATTGTTTTCATGAACCCTTGGTTCCCGGACGGCGCCTTGCCGCGTGGCCACGTATTTTGGATGTGCTCTCGATTCTTGGGGATAAAAGAGACACACCGTAGATCTCCTTGCCGCACAAAGAGCACGCCAGGTACGGGACGAACAAATATAAGATGAGGCCGTTTATGGCTAGCTCTTGAGCTTGAGCTGCAGAAAAATTGAAAACTGTAGATTGAGCGGTCCAGAAAAATTGCATTTTTAAGGGGTTACGTTATCCGAGAACAACCTTTTATCAATCGAAGCAAAAGGAAGAAAAGATTTATCAGACCTGTCTTCCCCTGAGTGAGAAAGAAAATCATACATAATAATTTGTTTTTTGAAGTTTCGGGAGAAAAACCGGCCTTGAATGCTTTTTCTTCAATTACGCAATTTTTTACAAAAAACAGTACTGTTCAAAAATTTATAAATCAGTGTTCCAAAAATTAAAAATTTGAATGGAAAATGCACATCATTAGGATTACAATAAACAAGTATTTCACATGTTTCAACATTTTACCATTATCATATCCTATTCATATTAAAATAAATCCTATTACGATAAATAATATTATTACATCCTCATTAACAACTCGTATTTGCACTATTCTACTGGCACATGATTCTAAGCATCGGACAGCCAGACTAAAAAGCCAACGACACGTTTGGTCCAAAGAATGGTTTTGGGATTTGCATTATTTCAGGAAATGCATGAACGGGAACGACATGCGTTCCAGACGTCTTTTTTCGATGGGCTTATGGTGTTTTGAATAGGAAGCGACAGGTCAAAAAGCATCACATGAAGCAGGGAACGGATTATACGAAGTCACAAAACGGGTGTAATCGGTTCAAAAGTGGAATAATTTCAGAAAAAGTGGCAGCATCATATGATCGCACGAGCAAAAGAGACCTTGGCAATTTGGTTCCTATAAAGGTCAGCGTTCCAGTAGGAGCTCGTCAGCAAGCAGTTCGAGCTCAAAATTTTTGGCAGATTTTAACGTTTTGCAACCCTTTTTCAGACTTCCAAATTTTTAGCTTGGGCTAATTCAAAATGCTGCGCGTCGTGATGCTTGCCGTCTTCGGCCTGATGGCGACCGTTTTGGCCGTCAACTTGGTGTCGTTGGACAAGGACGGCATCTTGGACAGTGACACACTCAAGGAGTTCAGTAGCTTCAAGTCTCGGTAAGCTTCAACGTCTTGGTAGCGTCGATTTTGAGCGCAATAGCAAAACCTCGAAATTCCAGCTTCAATCGCGCATGCTCGGACGGGTCTGCGGAGTGCAAACGTAAGAAGCAGGCGTTCAAAGCCAACCTGAAGAAGCTGAAAACGTTGAACGCCACGAAGAAGAAGGGAGGGTAGCTAGAAGTTCGGGGGTTGCAATATAATATTGCTATTCAGAGCCGAATATGGTATCACCGAGTACCTCGACTGGGATCCGGAGGAGCTGAAGAAGGTTGGACCGAACTGTGCAGGGCTTAAAATTTTCAGCTGGTTTTTAACATCGATACACTGCCTGCCCCCTTGAACATCAGCAGCGTCGATGCGGAAAGTCGCTCGAAAAGAGTGAGTTTAGGAGCTTTTACATCTGGTTATTAATGAAGCCATTTCAAGCTCTTAAAGCTGAATAAAAAAAGCTCTCAGGCCAACATCGGCACAAAAGATTGGCGGGCCACCCAAGCCGTCAACCCCATTAGGAACCAGGGCTCCTGCGGATCGTGTTGGGCTTTTGCGTAGGTTCATGCAAAGAGTCTTTATGAAAAATGATTTATGTCGATGGTTATAATAATATTACCAATTAGCTCGGTGGCAGCCATCGAAATCCAATCCAACTTCCTCAATAAACGCACCGGTGCCAAGCGACGTGCTTATTCGGAGCAGGTATTTCATCACGTGATTGTGCCTTCAATGTCTGTCCGCTAAGTTTAGCATTTGCTCAACTGTGTCGCAGGCAATACGTGCAACGGCGGCTGGCCCATCACTGCCATGACGTAGGAAAATACCTTAATAACACTTTAACTAGCGAATCCAGCTATGCCAAAACGAAAGGCCTGGCCAGGGCGGTCAATCAGAAATACACCGGCAAGATAGTGGCTTGCCCGAAGAAGCTGGTGAGTTTTCTGAAACTTACCATAGCTGATGCAATAATTTTAGGCCGTTGACAAGCCTGTTGCTAACGTACTCGACATGACCGGGAAGCTTGCACAGATGCAGAGTTATGTCCAAAATACTGGTCCAATTACGGCCGGTAGGTGCTTTCAAGCATGCCCCGGAGTTTTTTAATCGAGCGATTGGCAGACAGAGAGAGAGAGAGAGAGAGAGAGAGAAAGAGATAGAGAGGGAGAGCAAGGTTGAGAAATAATTATAGAAACTCGATTAAACTCCCCGAAAAATTCAGCCTTCTACGTCTGCAACGACTTCTACATGTACACCGGCGGCGTCTACCGTACCCAGTGCACCTACGATAATCCGGAATTCGTGGGCGGGCATGCTGTAGCTATCATTGGATTTGGTAGGTGAAAACTCACTCCAAAAATCGCCTTTTCAGGCACCACCGCTGATGGCATTGACTACTGGCTGGTTCGCAACTCGTGGGGCGTCAATTGGGGCATTAATGGGTATTTCATGGTAATAACTATACTACGTTATGCGATTTTAAGATTTTTATTTACTTTAGCGATAAAATTTTCCTTTTTTTCAGATCGAACGCGGGACCGATACCTCCTATTTTGAGTCGTGGGGTGTGTCCGGGCCAAAGGCCGCCAAAATCGCCTAATTTACACCAAGACCGAATTTTGCAAAAATCCTTGTAGTCCTCGTAATTATTTTTATGTGCTGATAAATCTATGTACAGCTTAAAAATTGACAAACAAAGCTCAAAATCTGACATATGAATATGTACAGAAATTTTTTTTTTTTTTTTTTTTTTTTTTTTTTTTTTTTTTTTTTTTTTTTTTTTTTTTTTTTTTTTTTTTTTTTTTTTTTTTTTCCTTTTTTTTTTTTTTTTTTTTTTTTTTTTTTTTTTTTTTTTTTTTTTTTTTTTTTTTTTTTTTTTTTTTTTTTTTTTTTTTTTTTTTTTTTTTTTTTTTTTTTTTTTTTTTTTTTTTTTTTTTTTTTTTTTTTTTTTTTTTTTTTTTTTTTTTTTTTTTTTTTTTTTTTTTTTTTTTTTTTTTTTTTTTTTTTTTTTTTTTTTTTTTTTTTTTTTTTTTTTTTTTTTTTTTTTTTTTTTTTTTTTTTTTTTTTTTTTTTTTTTTTTTTTTTTTTTTTTTTTCTTTTTTTTTTTTTTTTTTATTTCGAGACACTTGAAATAATCGTATCCCATTCCCGGCCAAACTTTATGCAAAACTCATCGATTATCGGGGGCCCGGCTGAAGAAATTGTGGCGGCCATAAATTCAGCCCGAGCCGTAAAATCAAATCGAAATTCCCAGCCTCACGTCAGTTTTGAAAAAGACCTTGAAACTACAGTTTTTCATACATTCTAAAGCCTTTTTCTCCAGATGACCACTGGGGACTGGCAAAACCCCAGAATCCTGCATAACCCGGGATGTCCCGTTCACACCATGGCAATAATGGAACCGGGGAATGAAGGTAATCTTGCAATTTTTCCTCTCTCTCTCTCTCTCTCTTTCTCTCTCTCTCTCTCCCTCTCCCTCTCTCGCTCTCTCTTTCCCGCTCTCGCTTTCTCGCGCTCTGTATTTGCGCTATAAGGAGTTCAAAAAGTAATGCCCTTTAATTTTGCTTATTTCGCGGAATTTATGTTTTAATTTCCTTGGCATCAAAGTCTTTGGCTTAATGGATATTAAAATTTATATAGCATATCGTATCACAATGTAAACTTACCTTTTCAGTCCCACCCGCGGAGTCCCGCCCGAAATTCCGTCACGACATCGCCGTCCTCCGAGCTGTTGCGATTATCGCAGTTTTCGGCTTCCACTTCTTGCCCGAGTGGTTTCCGCACTGTTTTCTGGGGGTGGATATGTAAGTAGTATTGCCAAGACCAAACCTTCAAAATTTTTAGATTTTTCGTCATATCAGGCTACTTGATTATGCATATTCTTTCGAAGGACCAAAGCCGTCCCTTGCGAAGAATCACGAATTTCTATGTACGCCGTGTTAAGAGGATTGTCCCGTTGGCATATCTGGTGTTGGGAATTGCAGGTATAACTGGTTATGACGTAAAAATATCGGTTTTTTAGCCATCGCCATTTATTTCCTTTATACAATTGCTTATCGGCTGCAGCATTTAAGTTATTTGGGGTCGACACTGGTGATGGGGCTGAATATCGAGCTCAATCATGATGAGCAAAATTATTTTGGGGATGTGAGAAAATTTATATGGTACACATAGGATAACGGGGGAATAAAATAACGGGGGTACTCATTATTATGAAATTTGCAATTACTGAGGGATTTTGCGAGTGCCATTCGATAGAGCGTCGAAAAATATACTAAGAGAATTAATTTCAGCCCGAAATAATGTAATAGAAATTTTTTATTGAATAAACAAAAAGTGAGGAAAATCTATGGGCAGCACATAGGATAACGGGGGAAAGTCAAATTTTCGAAATTTTCGACATTTTCGGTATTTTGAAAACGTCATTCGATAAAGCGTCGAAAACTGCCCTAGGAAAATTAATTTCAGCCCAAAATAATGTAAATGAAATTTTTTATCGAATAAACAAAATTGATCAAAATCCATGGGCAGCACATAGGATAACGGGGGGAAAGCCAAATTTTGAGATTTTCGATATTTTGAAAACGCGAATCGATAGAACATCAAAAATATACTAAGAGATTTTTTTACAACGCGAAAATGTATTATAAAAGTTTTATAGCCTAAAAACTATTTTTGAAAACTATGGGCAGCACATAGGATAACAGGGGGGGAAAAAAAATTTCGGCGTTTTGAATATTTTCGAAATTTTGAAAATGCCATTCGATAGAGGACCGAAAAATATACCAAGAGTTTTTTTTACAGCCCGAAAAAAGCTTATTTAAAAATACTTTTATAATATAAAGTTTGAGTGCCCCCCGTTATTTCCCCCGTTATCCTATGTGTACCATTTATATTGGTTGAAATTTTATGCAAAAGTACTTTGTAATTCCGTTCGAGTTTCAGAAGGTCGTCTTTCTTCCGATTCTCCACTATTGGTCACTGGGGGTTGAGATGCAATTTTATTTACTTGCTCCTTTGATATTCTACGCATCAAGGATTCGGGTTAAAGGTATTCTGAAGTTTCACGGCTGGGCCTTTATGAAATTCCAGCCTTCAGACAGTGTGTAGACGCGTGCGGGCTCGTCGCGTGTCTAAGGATACGCAACGCGACCGTACGCGTCACTGCGCCTAGTAGCCGTGCTTTTTCATGCAAAAATTTAGGAGAAGACATCGGCTCCTTAATTCTACTAATTGTATTCGGTGCCTCGTATGCAAAGTACAAGACCGACAACCCCACCGAGGCCTTTTACAATCCACTTTCTCGGTTGTGGCAGTTTTTAGCCGGGATGATGGCCAGTCACTTGGCTATTGTATATGAGAGGCCGCTGAAGGGATTTGCTACAGGTATTTTTGGATTAGTAAATTGTGTTTACTAATTCTTGCCTTAAACGATAGAGCTTTGTTTCGTCAACTTTTTTTCAAAAGGGCCCGATGGCGTTAATTCAGATTACGCCCAAAATGTCAATATTGGCTCGGCCGTGATCTTCATATCGATTTTTCTCACCTTTATACCACTCAAAATTCCGGGAGTTTCTTTGATCGTCACCCTGGTCTCGGCTGTATTCTTGTTTGTCGGGTCTTTTTCGTGGGTCGCGTTTAAAAATTAAGATATAGTATTTTTAGCAAGTTAAACTGGTCAAAGTTGCGTTTGAATTACATAGCTGCCATCTCATACTCGCTGTATCTCGTTCATTACCCTGCTATTTACATTACGACGTATTATGCCAGAAATCATGAGCTGTACGTTCCAGGTAAAAACCAGAGAGGCAAAGACAGAGAGAGAGAGAGCGAGAGAGAGAGAGAGAGAGAGAGAGAGAGGCAGAGCGAGAAAGGGAGAGAGAGCGAGAGTCGGCAAGAAAAATGAATACTTTTAGCAAAACTCGTCGCATTCCTCATCACCATCGTCATCAGCATCCTCCTTCATCACTTCTTCGAGAAGCCACTCCTCCGTGCTGATTTCCAAATTGTTCTCATCGTGCTAACAATATTATTTGCGGCCATTGGCACCTTATTCTATGGAATTCCTCGAATCGAGAGTTTACAAGGTTGCAATTTTTTTACAAGTTAGCCTGAATTTTGTTTTTTTTAGAAAGCGCAAGATCCGGCAATACCACTAAAGAAATCAATGCAAAAGCAATAGCCTGGCATCTGGCCAATATGCAATACTACTCAAGGGTTAATGGGAAATTTGTGTATCAGGATCCAGCTGTTATCGGAGAGATGGGACATGCTGTTTATCAGGTAACTCGGCTTAAAGGGGCCCCCCCCCCCGACCCCCGCCCCTCGGGGGGGGCCCCTTGGGGGCCGGCCGGGGCCCCCGGGGGGCGCGGGGGGGCGCCCCCCCCCCCCCCTCTTTTCCCGCGGGGTTGTCCTGGCCCCCCGGTCCCCTCGAAAACACCAAAATTTCCCCCCCCCCCCCCCCCCCAAACCCCCCCAAAAAACTCAAATATTTTTTGGTTTTATCATCAAAAAACCCCCACAAAAAAACAAAAAAAAAAAGGAAAGGGGGCGAAAAACCCCGCCATCTTCCCCGCCTCCCCCCCCCCCGGGGGCCGGGGGGCGCCCGCCGCCCGGGCCCGGGGCCCCCTTCGGGCCGTCCCCCACTTTTGGCTTTTCGTAGCCCCTTTAGGTTTTATTTGTTAAGGTATCGGTTTACTTTTTTACCTGCTTTTATTTCAATGTACAGAAGCTATAAAAATAAATTTAGAATGGAACCGGCCGGACGAGTCTAATGTTACTCGGAAATTCTTATGCCCCACAACGAGCATCGGTAAGTTGATTTTTAAGGAATCTGGGATACCTTAAAATATAGGCCCTAGAAAAAGCGGTTCCTCTGGCAAAACGCTCGACGCTAGACATGTTTGGCACTCCCGGACCGGTAGCGCTCTTTAACGAGTTGCCAGGTATCGAATATTTACTTTAAATTCGGATCAATAGCTTGAAAGCACAAATAATTAGATTTTTGTAGAGCATAGCGAGTATCTCTGGAGGTTGATTGAAGAAAGGAAACCGGATGTGGTGTATATTTGTTTAAGGTGACTTTCTATACCTCACGTGATTCATCGGGAATTGCAGGAATTCTAGTAGGCTACGGTGATAAATTTAATTGAAAACGTCCCCATTATTTTTAGGTACATCGCTACATTCGGTGAATACGACGAATTTTCCGAAAATGGCGATGACGCAAAGACAAAGGCGTATTTGGCAGCTATCCAAAGGCTAAGGTATCTTAGGTCTTAATCCGAATAAATTGCTTTTCACAATGCTAGCAATTTCACCAAGCACATCATCGTCGAGCTCGACTTTCCGTTCCGGTGCGAGCCCAGGCCCGGGAAGCCGGCAGTGGAAAATATACAAAATTTCTTGAATGACGTCATCGACTCGTTGGAGCGCGACAAACCCTTGGATGGCTTGAATTTATCATTTAATGTAAGTGACATATCTAAATTGTATGGTTCGGTTCAATACTTTTCAGGCAACGGAATATGAGCAAAATCCAGCTAGAAGACGTTGGCGTTTTGTTCAAAAACAGTGCCCGAAATGCCAGTTGTTCGATTTGATCCCAGCGTTTCTTGGTAAGTTAGTTTGCGTTTCTTTTTAACGTTTATTCATAAAAAAACGTTGATTCATAATTAATGCCTCATCCAGATTCCGAAGGGCACACTTTCCGGATGTCTGATCCGGCTACGAAACACTCGTATCTTGACAATCAATGCCATCATACCGAAGCTGGCCTAGCCGTCATGGAAGACCCCATTCGGAAGGTGTTGGCTCCGTATTTATAAGCTTTAAAAGCTCGCAAACACGGCTAATTTCGCTTTTAATTGGCAAATTAAATGGAATCTATTAAACTGTATGAAGCTGTTCCTTTCTGCGCCTATCCCCAGGCCACAGAGTTGAACGTTTTCAACCCCGCACGGCAGAGATTCCCCCTGAGCTTTGTTTCAATGATCTTTGAAGACAAGCGCCTGGTCCGTCTAGAAAAACGAGCATTTCCCCCAAAATTCCAATTCCGCAATGATCCGCATCGTCATCACGCGCCTTTCGTAGCCGCGGGCTATCCGAAGCACGCCGAGTCAGCGCAATCCATCAAACCACGAGAGCAAGAGAGGAGAGAGCGAGAGTGAGAGAGAGAGAGAGGGAGACACCTTGATGCCGTCCATTGTTTTATTGGCGCGCGCTGATTTGTACGTATCGTGTCTTGCCGCTGCGGCTCGATTTTGTAACTGGGCGGCGCGCGGCCAAATGACCGGTTTTTCGGTCTCGGCGGATGATGATCTTTGCGGGAAATTGACAAAGTTTCCCCTATGGCTTTGATGAGTCCTATAACCAGCATAGCAAAAGATTTTCGGTGTTAGTGTCCGAGAACTCAACATTTTGTAAGGAGCTTAACAAGCTTATGAATGTCAAAAGCACCAGGTAAGTTTGAATTTGCTAATCACACCATTGGCAAATGAAGTCTTGAAGTTGCTTGTGCGGCGTTTTCAATAACTTCTTGGAGGAGTTGAGCAGTACTACCGAGCGTATCTTGCATATCTTGGTAACTTGGTACCTTGGTATCGGTCACCAGAATGTACATGTCCAGAATGCCAAAATTCATAACCTCGATTTTCGGGATTACCATATTCCGAAAGGTCCAATATTCCAAATACCTTTTCAGCTTCTGAGACTTAAATGACTGAAATTGAAATCTACAAATCTAATAAAATTTCTCACCAAAATAACACCCAAAAACCGTCGCTGAACTTCCGCACACGCCTCGAGACCGTTCAAAAAATCGGTCCCCGTCAAAACGAGCACGACAGATAGGACAGGGCAGGGATGATTGGAGAAGAGAGTCACCCCGGGCTCACACCCAAACCACCACCGACACAAAAATATAGCCGTGGAAAGGGGGAAGAGGGGAAGATCAGCACCACCTGCGCTCTTGCTCCTTTTCCGTCTTTGCACCGCGCTGGGGGGTGAAGCACGGGCGATGCTGACTTTCCACCGGTTCAGCGGCTATGCTACGCCATGCGCCGCCGCGCTGATGATGACTTGAGCTTGACAGTGGCGGAACTTGTGGTTTTCAGCCTGTAGTTTCCTCGTTACTGTAGTGGTTGAGTACAGTAGGACATTTTGAGTAAGGACGGCCATTAAAAACAAATATTTATTACAAAACCGAGCGCATAGATTACGGAAATGGTCCGAATATTTCGTAATCCTTGTGATAAATTGCTGTAACGAGGCTCTTAGCGGAAGATGACTTTAGAACCACGTCTTTCAGGGCTTTAGCTTGGTCCAAATCGGTGACATGATACGTCTGGCCCATCGTAATGTGACGTAGCGCCTGAAATTACTTTCGATGAAACATCTGCTAAAATCGGATAGAATTACAGCCAAAAAAAACCGGCTTACGCGTTGTGAAATTTCCTCCGGAATTTCGGCTTTCCGGAAAACGTCTAGCAGTTGATCCTTTAGGATTTCCGGTTCTCGAGAGTAATATACCACGTCAAAATCCGGCCAGGTTTTCTTCAGGTTGCAGTGGCTGAAAAGCCTTCTACGCAAAACTCCGGCGTTGCACACGTTATGGCTGCGGCTGCGCAGGAACTCGCGTCCTCTCTCTCGCTCTCTCTCTCTCTCTCTCTCTCTCTCTCTCTCTCTCTCTCTCTCGCTGTCTCTCTCTCTTGCACGATACTTTACTTTGCTTGCGGTGAGACGTGGCCCCAGATAGGCTTCCGGGTCCGGATATAGTTATTCTCGCCTCGATATGCGTTGTAGATATCCTGAGCAAATTTCTGGATTCCTGTACGTTTTGGGCACAACTTTTCGTGTCTAAAAATTTGGCAAAAACCACCTTGTCGAAAATCTTACAAGCAAATAAACGAATACATCGACACAAAGCGATCGATCGGGTCGCGGACGATGAGGAATTTGACATGGCGCTTCGATTTTCGTCATGTCTCGGTTTTTTGATTACGGTAGAAGGCTTTATCGGACCAGCAGTCGCTAGAAAAGTGGGTAATTACGGGACCTGACACCTTTTTGGGTAGTTAGAAACCCACTTTCTCATTGGTCTTCACGGTCCTTCGAGAGGATATTTTGGGTGTAGTTGATGCCCCGAAATTCACGTTGTATATCGCAGAGGGCGGTGAGTAAAATCGTGGAGCCGGCCTTGGGCATTCGGCAATATTGGAGTCCGGTTTTGGTATCATACTAAAGCTTAAGCAATTTTTAAACTGCGCTAGCAAGTCAGGATCGAGAGCCGGAAGTCGACGTCAAAGATTCGTACGTATACATATGTATATACAGCACTAATTTAAACCTACCAATTCACCGGCATTCACGTTTAGATCAATAAATGGCACTAAAAATTTATGAAATCCAACGACTCGATTACCTACCAGCATTCATGACCGCAATAAAGATTAATAAAGAGAGGCAGGCAAGCAGGGGCGGCAATCCGCCGGCCATTTTTTGCTACCGTAACCTCGGCCCGGGGCTAGTTATAGCCGATCGCCAGAATCGAAAATCGCACCCGAATCTGACTGATAGTCTCCGAAAAACGGTCGGCAGCGTAGCGTTTGTCCCTGGAGTGCAGAAACCGGGTTCTGCATCGGTTTTCTGCATTTCGGTGCGCCTGTTGTGATATTTTAGGACATTATGTGACAAATATGAGAAATTCGTGTAGCTTTCATGGCGGATTATGTGCACTACGGTAAAATAAATTAAAAAATAGAAATAGATTTTACGAAATTCAAGTCAACATGAATAGAAAAATAATAAATTAAGTACAACGAAAGATGTCAAGTTCTTAATCAGCGCCGAAGTCGTGCCATTTGCAACAGAAATAAAGAAAGGATATTATGGAAACGGTCCGAAAAGCTCGTAGTCCTTGTGATAAATTGCGGTGATAATATTCTGGGCAGGTGGCGATCTTAGAATCACGTCTTTAAGTGCTCTAGACCTATCCGAAGAGGTGGCATGGGTAGTCGAACCCATAGTAATGTGCCGTAGAGCCTGAATCTCGGTTTTAAGATTAATTGAACCATATAGCTGACCCGTTCCGCCGTCTCTTCAGGAATCTGGGCCTTTCGGAAAACATCTAGCAGTTGATCCTTTAGGATTTCCGGTTCACGACTATGATAGACAATATCAAAATCCGGCCATCGCTTCCTTAATTGGCAAAAGCTAAAAATTGCTATGTAAATCTTAACTGTATAAATATTTTTTACTTTGCCTGTGGGGAAGACATGTCCCCAAATAGGGGGCCTCGTTCTGATGTAGTTATTCTCTCCTCGATACGCATTGTAGATGTCTTGGGCAAATTTTTGGATTCCGGTACGTTTCGGACACAGCTTTTCGTATCTAAATTACAAGATTAAGGTTTAATCCATTTCTCAAATATTTACTAATTAATGGAATTTGAGTTAGCAGCCTGATCGCGTTTGAGAAAATTCAATACAAGCCAGGATTGCGACTTACGAACAGATATACGAGTACAGTGACACGAATCGGTCCACCGGATCCCGGACGATGACAAATTTGACTTGGCGTTTCGGCTTGGCCCACTTTTCCGTCTTGTGGGTACGGTAGAACGTCTTGTTGTACCAGCAATCGCTGAAAAATCGCGTAGTAGATTGAAGTACTTACAACTTACTTACTTTTTGACCTCCAGGAATGTCGAATTCAGCACCTGGGTAAAGTTTATGCCCCGAAATTCACGTTGCATATCGCAAAGGGCCGATAGCAAGATTGTCGAGCCGGTTTTGGGCAGTCGGCAATACTGTAGGCCCATTTTCGTGTCATACTGTAATTTTTAGTTGTTTTTTTAATTTGTCCGAAAAACGTGATTTAGTATTCCGGAAAATGCCCATTATTAAATGAAAATCGATGAATTTTACCGAATATATTACTCACCAAATCTCCCGCATTGAAATCGAGATCGACAAACGGGACTGCAAAAGGGTATTAAAGTTTTCGGGTGATTTTTTACCAGCTCCAGCGCCAAAGACAAAATTCAAAGGAAATAACAAAGACAATACGCGTGTAATCATGCTCGCTACCGTAACCCAAAGCCCCCCGGCTACTTATAGCAGGTGCACGAAATCGAAATTGGCGTCTAATCTGGCCGATTGTCACGCACAGATGCGGCCAAGAGGCTTATCATTTGTTCTTTGGGTGCGGTGAGGCGTCTCCCTCAAAGTATACCGTTTGTTGGGTTGTGTAACTTCCGCCGCACGAAATTCGCAAAATTTACAAAATCCCGCGGGTTCAAATTCGAAAGGCGACTATGAGTGAATTAGAGATAGGAGCATCTAGGAGACTCAACAAATACATCATCGTTTAAACGAAGCGTCGGTCAATAAAGCTTAATTAATCTTAATAAGTTTAAATGCAAGATTTACGTTATGTATATCCTGAATAAATGGTGTGGTTCACAGTCAGACCTATTAGGTTGGAACTAAAGTTCGTGCAATGCAATCAAATTCTCTATTCGATGCGTGGGACGGAATCGCGTTGCTTCCCTATTAGAATTTTTTAAAGCTAGCTTTAAGCGAAAATGAAAAATCGCTTCGGCCCGCCTTTACAAAAGAAAATTGGCTTCGTTTTTTGGCTAATTCGGCATGCAGCCAGTAGATACAACTTATTATCATCTGGGATCAAATCTGAAAAACTACTGAGGCTAAAAACCTGTAATTTTGATCCCACATACTCATGAACCCAATGGATAAATGCAAGAGGGAATATTGGTATCTGGCCACTAAATTTTCAGAAAGAAATTTCCAATGTTCGATTGCGC